GGAATACCATGGTTACTATTTGAGTCACCAGACCATACACATTGTTCTAAGACTTGAACAATAGCTGAAAGTCAAAGTCAAAAGAAATTAAAAACAAAAAAAAAAAAGGATCTTATCCCAAGCTTTAGAATTGCTTCTCCAAGTGCTTTCCAGTTCCCCTCCAGACCCTCTTTTCCCTGTCTCCCTGTCTTCCCCTTTCTCTTTTTTGTTTCCTCCCCTTCCTTCTCTTTTCTTTTTAGTGTTCTGAATTCATTAGGTGGCATAGAGTAAATCAATAGTAAACGTTAACCGCCTACTCTGTACTCAGTTATGCAATATCTGTAACTGGTACACAGACAAAAAGGGAAAAGCACACACAGCTTTACATTCAAAAGCTCTCACATAATTTTACTTTTCTACAGCCAAAAAGGAAGTAACAGATGGGGAAACTTACAGTTTTTTTCCCTCTTTCCCAGACTGTTTAGAAAGGAGTTAGTTAACATCCATGGCCATTTCTAGTTACCCTAGCCTGTAGCAACATCCCATAATTGTCAGAGCCATAACTGGCTTTAAAACAGGACTTTGTGACTGTCAGTGATGTAATGGATTTTCCAGGTAGTATGAAACTAAAGTATTCTGAGACTATTTGACTTGTTTAATGGAAAATCAAAAAATTCTAAGAATAAAATTAATTATAAAGCAGGAGATAAGAAAAATGACTGTGTGCACATGTGTTTCTACTTACAATATATTCTGGTATAATATTTATGTGAAAACAACCTGTTATAACAGTTATATAAGAACAATTCAGTAAGATGTTTCTCTTCCTTTTTACTTCAGTTACTGTAAGTCTCCAAACTTCTTTTTCTCATTATAAAGCACAGTCGAACCCAAAGTCTCAGTAACAGCAAACATCTTGATGCTACAACAGGACAGAAGACTTAATTCAAATGCCCTGTAGACTTTGATCTCCGAATGACAGCTCTGTTTATGAATCTAGACCTTGTGGAATTCTGATCTAGTGCCCTCCCTCCGGTGTCACGGTGCTCCCTGGGACACCTTACATTCACTGCATCAAGAAATCTTCCCTCCTCCACACTGAAGGCCTAAAATCAGCCATAGGCCTAAAATCAGCAGTAGGCCTGTCATACATGTATACTAACACCAAGTCTTGGGTCTCAGTGGAAAAACATAAACAGATGGCTATAAGCTAATGTAAACAGGCAGCTTTTGTGGAAATTTCCAAGCCTGAGTAGTCATAGACCTTGTAAATAGGTAGCCTTGGCAGACAATACCAATTTAGATAAGGACAAGCGAGTCATAGGCAGAGTCATAGTGACTTGTCCCCTGAACCTTCACCTAGCCGATACCCGGTTCTGAAAGATATCTGTATCCCCCTGAACACCCACACTCCAATGTCATTCCTTTCCCCACATCCTGCCTTTCTGTATTTATAACCCCTGTGTGAATGAACTACTATTTGAGAAAAAATAAATTATTTAAAAAAAAAAAAGAAAAAAAAGGCATCTTCCCTCCTCAACTCCTCTCTCCCCATCTCTTCTCACTGCTTTCCAGTCGTTCTTCTCTCCACTCCCACCTCCTCACTCCTCCTTTTCTGTAATCTCTCCTTTCTTCCCTCTCCTCCTCTCTGGTCTCTCTCCTTTCTCTTTGTAGCTCTGCGTCTCTTTCCCATGCCTCTCTCCTTCACATTGAAGGATGTTACCCAGCCTCGATGGAAACACAGTGTGGTATCTGTGTGTGCTCTATCAGTCTTTCTTCCCTCTTAAGATATTTTGTTTCACTTACCCCAAGGAGTTCTCTGGGAACCAGGCATTTCTGTCTGATAAGGAGGAGGCTGGAGAGAAGGGTGTTTGTTTTGTTCTTTCATTTTAGTGTCTAGCCATCAATGTGTATGATGTGGATATAAAATGATACACACTGGACACTGCAGAGAGCTGTTAAACCAGCTAGGAAGCAGTGGTAGTTAAGTCTGTTTTAGCCAAATGAAGGGATGGTGAAAGGTGCATGGGAAAGAGGAGATATGATCTCTACTATACAAAATACAAGCTATTGAAGAATTGGGCTTCTTATATTTTGAATCAGTGTCTTACTTTCAGTTCATGCTTTATTTATGGATGATAAAACCTTGAAATATCAACCAGTTTAATTTGCTAAAACTGAGGTATGTTTTTTTTTCTTTATTACTCTGTGTGTGTGTGTGTGTGTGTGTGTGTGTGTGTGTGTGTGTGTGTGTATGTGCGCTTAATTCAAACTATATCATATTTTAAACATTTTCTTACAGCTCAGTTATTGCAATTTAAAATTCCTTTGTATGGAAAACTCAAGCGCACAACGATAAAAATCAAAGCAAGTATATTTTTGCCTGGCTTTTCAGGTTTCATTGCTCAAGCACCGTCTCTTTATTGCAACAACTCAATGATCGTGATTATTGGCATTTTTTTGTATTTACATTTTCGATTACATAAGGTTTGTTGTTTTAAAATGAATCATGACTAAACTAGTAAATATTTCAAACAAGAATACACACATACACACACATTTCTTTCCAACTCTTCTGTACTTAAAATTGGTTATGGAAAACTATTGACATGAAAATTGGACAGAGCATTCTAGTGTTTAGCCAGGAAATTATATTCACACATATTTTTCTACATATCTCTCTAAGTCTATTATAGCTGATCTTGAATTCCAATATGCAATAATGCATATTGGTACCATATTAGCAAAAATATCCACCCTCATCTCTATTTGTTGCTTTTGGCAGTAGTGACAGTAATGTTTCAAGAACCTCAGCCAGTGACTTAGCTGTCCAACAAGAATTACTTCAGTTGTGCCTGATACACAGAACAGCTTTATAACTATTTTCTGTGTTTTGGTAAAACATAAAGTAGATTTATTATAGTGCAATTTTTACATAATTGTTTACATAACCTGTAACCAAGTTATTCTTTTGTATGTGCAGTTCCCTACACATACACAGAAATTTATTCTAAATAACCCTAATTTTCAAATAATTATTTTTAAACTGAAAAACTAAAACCCTTAAAGGGAATCAATATTTCTAGGGTTATTAAAAATAGTTGTAGACATCTGGTCATTGGAGAAAGAGAAGGAAACATCTAATATCTTTCTGCCTCCTTTTGCCAGATCCCATCACTTTCTATCTTGGTGGGTTTTCACACTCTAAACCAAAGGTAGGCAGGATTGTATTTTAAAGTTCATTTTATGCAGGCAAGCCTGCTCAGCCCTCACTGTCAGCTGTAACCACAGCCCTTGGGAACATATAGGCTATATGTTCTTCTTTTATTTGTAATGCTGGATTCAAGTAGAGGCAAGGCTGGCAAACCTAAATATTCTCTTGCTGTGCCATGCAAAGCAGAGAGTTTTAATTTTTTCTGATATTTCTTAAATCCTGCACAACCCTCTCAACTCCATTTTTCTTCTCATTGCTCAATACATTCTAATTTTTGAACAAGATCCTCGGTCACTGACAGCTTTGCAGACAGAATCACTTACCTAGCTGTGCCTTGTCTGAAGTAACAGCTTGGTAAGAATTTGTTTTGGTATGCTGGGGAGACTGTCCAGACAAGTGTACGCCATGCAAGGAAAGGGATAGAAGATACTGAAAATGGAGCATTCCAGATCTAGCAGTGGATTCATCATCCTATTTAATAAGGAGGAGCTTATTGTCTACTCTTACTCTTTGTTGGTGCTGTGATCTAACCAACTGAGATAACTTGGATAGTTGTTCTCTTTCTTTATAAAAACTTCAGATCTCAGAAGTCAGTTGTACATCTTTCCTAGAGATTCTTTTCAGTGGTTATTGCTGCATAAGCTCACTTTAAAAACATAATTTTAGGCAAGCTACCTGTGTGATCTTCATCAAATTTCATATGCATGTGTGTGAGATTTCAGCTTTCAAACACACCTCTCTTGAACTCTACCACAGACTTCCTTTTAATTTGGGCTTTTCTTATATTCTCTGGATAATTAATTTTGTTTTCATTCAGACATGTACAGCCTTTCCTATGAAGTGACTTGTTGTGTACAGTTTCACTTTTTTTGGCTTGGCAAATTCCAGGTCTTTCTGAATCAAGTTTGGAGTAGTTTGGTTCTGTTTGATCTTCTATAGACTGTCATTAAGATGCTGGTATTGAAGGTTGGGTGACTACCAGGAAAACCACTTGTAGCTTCTGTATTCTTAAGGCAATTGATAAGAAACACCATGTAGAAAGATTAACAGGTGTGTACTATTTGGCTAGCAGTTTCTAAAATGTAGATTATATAACAATTGGAGTCTTGTTATATAAGTTCCACAGTTGAAAACTTTTTCATGTTAATTTTTATCTCAATCTATTACTTTGTGATTTAGCATAATGGTCTTAAAGGTTTCAGCTTCCATTTGTGCTACTCGTACCTAGCTAGGAATATAAAACCATACATTGATTTGTAATCAGGAAGGATAGATAGTACAGCCAGTACTCTGAAGTGTCATGAATGCAGATGTTCACGATCCATCGCTTATTTTCCCATCGCTGCTGCAAGACTTAATGTCCAGGACATGAGTAACAAACAGCACAAAGCAAGGAAAGCCCGTTTGCTTTTATTTATAAAAATGTTTAATGAAAAGTACAGTAGAATTCAAACAGAATGGCAAATCCTTATGGTTCCCAAAAGTTTGATTATTTTTTAAGCAGATCACAAAAATTAACTGAGAAAGCTACTTTCACAACACAGAGTATTGTATAAAGGGTTAGCAGATCATTTATTAGGGCTGCATTTGGTTAGTGATCATTGAGTTACATATTCAGACACTCACCAAGTCACCTGTCAGTAGGGTCTGATTGTTCTTTTATTCCCAAAGGAACCATCTTTTACTTTCTGCTATCACTGAGCCAGGGTCCCAGGGAGGGACAAGTGCATTCTTTGCTCTGATGAGCATGTTGTTGTATATTGGGCAAAATACATACCAACACTTATGGTATCCTTTCCCATTTCAGACTGTTTTATCGTCAGCAATTGAATATTTCACACAACCTTTCCAGCTGGTAAGTAATATTTCATTGTCTCTCAATTGCAGGCCAAAATATTGAAGCCCAAAGAAATAATATATATTCATACCCAATTTAGCAACTCCAGACAAATAAGATATAAATCTAGGGGCTGTAGTGAATTTACCACCACAAGATTAAATTTGAACAGAATGTATTTTGATACTTAATAAAATGTTGAAAAATAAGAACCAATATCACAGTATTGGTAAATATTTTGAATGCCTTTAGTAGACATGGGTAGAAGTATTAAAGGACCTGTTTGGAAGTTTTTCCAGAACTAAATTTTTCTAAAGAACTTCTGAAGAGACAGAAGCAGCCATAAGGTGAAGATAGCTACTGATGTTTCCTATGGAGAATGCAGTCGTTATGACATTAGGAGAACAGAAAGTCTTTCAAACACATTTTATGTCTCTTTGAACTTGTGACTTATATTAGATAATATTTTGTAAATCTGAAGGTATTTGCTTCTTTTGAATCTTAAAAATGGACATAGCCACCCTTGTGTGTATCCACAAAAAGAAAGGGGAACAACCTGTTGAGATATGAATAAACATGTCCATCCGTATCTGGAAATTAATAGCTCCAAACTCATGTAGACATAGGTTGAGAGTTTGGTTCCTTGTCTTCTGATGAGACCGTGAAGTTTCTAGAAGGGTAGCGTTGTGTCCTTGAACAGTCTTGGTAGTAGTTAGGCTCTGAAGGAGAGCAAGGCGTGATGGGAAGGTATGATAGTGGACCATTATCATGTAGGAGACAGCCTGGAAGAGCTGAGTTTGCTAGAGGCTGGCCTGCAGTTAATTGTAATGACAAATGTACTCCAGGGGGAGGGGAAGAGGAGGGAAGGAGCACCTTGCTTGACTTCTGGCTCTCTTTTTGCCTGGCATTCTAGGCCTGTTTAGTCATAAACACCATAGTCATCCAAACCTTTAAAGTTACACTCTTGACTTCACTTCATATGAATGTGCACTAAATGAAGAAAATCATCTCTTAGGGTGAGAAAGATAGCTTCCTGTGGGGAATTTCCAGGCTCACTGCACGTAATCCATAGTTGTCACTGTTACTGTTTCTAATTCTGTTACCAGTCTATCTCTGTTCCTGAGTTTATACAGCTTGCCAGTGAAGGCCACAGCTTTAGGACTGCTACTCTCTCTCTCCCTCCTGCCCCCACTCCCTGCTTTACTTGTTTTGCTACTCAGAATAAAGCTGCTATCAGTGTGGGCCTAGAGACACAAGGGACAGACCTGCTTGCTAACTGTGATTTGCTCTCCCTTCGAATTCCTCACAAAATGATGTCAGCACAGAAAAGCCAGAATTCCACACTCTTGCTGACTTGCAAAAAAACAGATTCCTCCCAAGTGTTTCCTGTTTCCCTGATCAGATAAAATATGTCTTGATGGGCTTTGCCATTGGGTGTATCTCACTTTCAGGCATGAGGATGTCAGGCATTGTAAAGTGTCCCACAGTGCCGCGTGCTTGCAGTGTCTCTGCTTTAGTAAACGGTAATCTTCTAGGGAAGGGGAACACATCTTGTCTACTAATGAACAAATATTTATTTCATTTTAAAATTATACTTGTTCATTAAAAATAATATGGAAAAATACATAGGAGTAGAATGAAGAAAAATTAAAATAATTATTTTTATAATTTAAATCTAACCATTAATAAGTATTTGATATATTTTATAACTCTCATTTTCTCTAGAAGACATAGTTTTTGAATATGCTGTACTCAGAATTCCTCTGTAATTTTTGTCTCTTCTTTTAAAATTTAACTTAAGAATTTTGTATTTAGTTACATTCTAAATAAATAAATTCTACTCCTATAATCAAAATGCCCAAGAAAGCATTATATTTTACTTTTTTCATTTCCATAATCCCTTGCATATGAACAGTGAATGAATCAGTCAGTAAATAATGGATAAATGATTGAAAGTTCAAATGAAGTATATATTTTAAAAATTATTTTGTGAACATTTTCAAATCTATGAATGTAGGCAGATTACTGTAATGAAGTCCTGTATATTCGTCATCTAGCATATTCACTGCTTAACTCGTGCCTATCAGTTTCCTGCTGTATTACCCTGTTATTTTGAAACATATCTCAGCTATCATGGTAGTTTATTAATTGGCTAATATTTCTGGTTCATCAGGATGCTTTTATATATTGATGTTTTTAAAAGCTTCAGAAAAATAATACTCACTATTGTATGGAACACTGTTTCTCTTCTTAGTGTCTTCTAATATGTAGCAACTGATTGGGTCAGCCATAGCATCCTCAGGTACATGCACAAGCCAAAGGATGATGTGGTTGAAAAAGAGATGAGTCTAGCAGTTAGATAGGCTTCTGGGGCAAATGATTTTCTTTGGGATCTTTTTACTTAACTCAATTTTAGGATAATAACTTGCATGGCAGACTTATGCAATATTAATTATCTTTATCATTGAACATATCACTGTATTTATTACATCCAATCATTTATCTGAAGAAAAAGAAAAAGTTCATCCTCTGACTACTTAGAACTCTATGCTAACTGCTCTAAGCCCATACTGTATAGAACAAAGCAAAGTACTTAAGCCTAACAGTACTCTGCTCTAATATTTAGAGATTTTAAGGCATTTTTGATAACAGAAAAGCATCTGATAGCTAAGATTTAACTTAAATCTAAAAGGGGGAACTTTATATAACTTTATAGAGAGGGCTCTATATCTGAGGGGAGGAAATAATCCACTACAGAGCAGTGCCTGTGTTTAGTACTCTAGTTGTCCCAAGGATTTTGAAGAATAAGCTACAAGCCACTTTTTCATAGATAGACCACAACTTTCACAAAAGAGCTCTATGTATTCAGAAAGATCTGTTGGAGTGGGCTGTGTGTACAGTACCTGTTTGCAAGTTTTCCTTTCTTGCTTACTGTCTTGAATTTTAGGCCAGAGACTGTTCAGTGGTGATGTGTTATCCAACAGGTGTTTCACACTCATCAGATATTCAGGATGTGAGAAAGTACACACTGCATCCATAGAAACTAAATTTATGTGTTACTCTGGCCTGTTTAATCTTTGGCGCAGTTTCCATTGGCCTCGAAAGTGAGTAGCTAGAATATTGATGTGCCTAACCCTTCGAGAAGAAATAAAAAATTTCTCTACCACACTAAATCTCTAGAAAAATATGATGGCTTACAGGATGGACACATACAAAATATTTTCAGCCAAAGCTGGTAGGAAAAGCACACGGGGAAAAAGAAAGTAATAACACAAGCAATAAACTATCCAATCAAACAGAGCATCTGTAGAAACTGCTCCTCTGCATGTGTAAACAATGCAAATTCTTTTTCTCTTTCCATCTCTTCTCTTTCCATTTGTCTTCTGAATATTTATTTTCCTCTACTGTGGCTTGACATCACTGCCATTAAAATACCAGCTAAAGAGCCGAAATGTACCCTGGTGCCATGGAATTCAGGCAGGTATGACAAGGCAGGAATTGTACTGTTTTAAAGCAGCAAAGTATCCATAGTTCATGCAACTCACTTTCCCATTGTTATTTTAAGATGGATCTAACAGCACATCATGGTCCTTCATTTACATCTTGTTCTTCCATGTGATGGTGTCCTATGTTCCTGTCATAAATGTGAACTAGAAAGTACATTTCTTTGAAAGAGAAACCATGATTCTTTCTGGTTTGTGTATTACACTGTGTGCTCAAGTTATCCACCAAAACCTCATCGTGATGGCAACTATAGTAATAATTATCAATAATAGAGATAATATCTTCTTCTAGAAAGGCCTGCTGAGGCCATCTCAGGAATAACTCAGGCTCCCTGATAAAAGGTCAATAGACTCATCACCTGAGCCTGATAAAAGTTCTGTTCCAAAAAAGCATTGAAAAAAAGCTAGTGCTTCTTCCTTATATGTGGCCTTTTGGGTCCTGCTATTAAATCACTGTTGTTGTATTTGTGACCTTATATGTCACTCACTACAAAACAACATTGTAAGAATAAAGTAGCAATCAACACTTTCTACCTCTTTCTCTGAACTAAGCCCATGATTATAGTTGAATGACTCTCCTTACTTGAAGGGAGGGAATCCTCTGTAAGTTCCCTGAATCATGACAGGATTTTCACGCCTATGCTGATAATCATAGCCAAAGGAGGTAGAAGGGTTTATTTAGATTGCCAAGTCTCTCTATTCCATAAAACTGGCATATTTTCTGGGAAATATTTTATTGAACATATATTATGCAATTGTGGGCAGTTGCCATGAGAGTAATGTTTATGTTATTCCCTCACCAAAATAACTCCTATGATTCTATGTCATATGAGAGAAGGTCATGAAATACATGCTAAGTGAAGAAGTTCAAAGGGATAATTATATCATCATCACAGTCCTTTCACGTTGGAATGAGGAAGAATCTCCGTTCTTCCCCCTGTCTAGACTACAGTTTGAACAGGAGATGGTTTTGGAAATGGTCATCCATCTGGAAACTACTCCAGAGAGTCCCTCTAGACTCTCATGAGAACTGCTTCTATGAGCTCTGACCTCTGCTGTAGAAATATTTGTGATTTTTGGTGATATAAGCCATCAGTTTGTTTTCTGGGTATTTGATAGCCACTCTGAATTCATCTAATGTATTTATGGCAGGAGATCTTGTAACCTTTCAATACTAGATGTAAGGACTCTTGTAATTAATTATTTAAAGACATTTTAGCCCTTAACTATTTTTCTTTCTTTGTCCACAAACAAGTTGATTGGCTAATCTTTGTCTTTGTTTGTTTTATTGTTGTTGTTTTTGTAGACACTGCACACAAAGCAAGAACAGGGAAGGCTGTGTATAAAAGATAATCACAATGGCATCATTGCGCTTTCTCTGGATGTTCTCATTCCTCCTGTCTGATTGCATCAAGACCTAGACTCTAGACAGTGTGTTTCAGTTTTGTCAGGAAAATGAGAGACAGAAATAATTCTGTATTTATTATATATTGTCAAATAGAGTATGTTAATTGT